GAAACCACGGGAAGTGGGGGGAGACGAAAACCCAGAAAATAGAATATTATACACCCCGCAAATGCGTATAAGAGTGAGGGGGCGGTGGGGTCGCGGGTGGGTCGCGGGTGGGTCGCGGGGTGGGTCGTGGGTGTGTCGCGGGTGGGTCGCGGGTGGGTCGCGGGGGGGACGACGCAACAAAGCAACAACAAACCAACAACAATAATCTTCGCCGTGGATCCCCACCACTTCAGCCACGCACCCAGGGACAGTGAATGACCGTTCGGGCCCCCTCACTCTGACAATATAGGGAATCCTGAGATTTGTGCGTATCTATTTGTGTGTCCCTGGGCCCCTTCATCAAGGGGGAATCGAAGAATAATAAACTCCATAGGCGCTCCGCGCGGATTTCTTCGATCGGCGTCCAGGCCCCCCAGCGGCGCCGGAGGCGCGCTCTACGCGCCAGGGCCGGGAGGTCCAGCGCAGATCCAAGAAATCTGTGCGGAGCTTCAAAAGTTTATGTTTGCGCTGTGTTTTTTCTTCTGGGTAATGCATATAATCCCCCATACGATCGCCGACTCATCGCCGACATGGGCAGTGCTAGCGCACCTCGCCCAGGAGCGCGCGGCCTCGCTGCAATTATGGGGGGGGCTGCGCCGACTGATCGGCGATGCACACCGCCGACTGCAGGTCAATGTCCCCCCCGCCCGGAGCTGATCCCCCTCTCACGTCCCCCTGCATGCTCTCGGCTCCGAGGAGGAGCAGCTCTTCTTGATCGAAGCAGAAAATCGCGATAGACATACACTTGTGGCGCTCCGTGCGAAATTTCTTGGGTTCGCGATGGCCCCCCCCCCGCGGCGCCTCTGGCGGCACCCCTTGCGCGCTCCGCGCGCCAGGGCGGGGGGCCTGGCGCGGATCCGAGAAATCCGCGCGGAGCGCTAAAAGTTTAATGTTGTGGCGTTTCTTCTTCCTCGACTTGAGGCTCAGCTCGCTGTCGTGGCAGCGTTCAGCTCGGAACTCTCGGCTGCTGGGGCGAGGTGCGCGACCGTCCGCGTCCCGCTCGCCGTGTCGTCGCCCTGGCTCCCCTCGGCAACGGTCCGGGTGAGCGGCGGGCAGCGGGCCTGGCAGCGTTATTCATGCACAGGCTCCCCGTTCCAACGCAGCAGCGCAAGCGCAGAAGGAAGGGGGCTGGGTCGAAGGCCCACTCTGCTTCACTGCCCTGTCTATCTGAACTCGCGTGGCGCGTGTCTTGAGCGGCATCTCCTTGTCCGCAGCGTCGATACCTTCGTCCCCCTCCACCTCCTCCTCCTAATCCTACCCTCTCCATCCGAACTGTCGGACGGGGGACCAAGGTGGGAGGGATGTAGCTCGGGCAATTTGGGATGCATCTGGAAGGCCTTATGCCTTCCTCGAAGACGTCTTGCCCTAACCTATGTTATGTTGACGAATCTAGGTTCACCATATTTCGTCAGCAGGATATTGGGGTGTTCCTATGTTCGTCAAATCCCCACTCATCCTCCCCCTCGTCTTCCATCCTCCTCCTCCTCCTCATCATCATCATCCTCATCATCCTCCTCGTTTCCATTCCCTCCAGGCAGGGCTGCGAGAAGACGCACCTTTGGGGCGCCCTATTGCCGTCCCTCCCGCGCTCCGCGCTTTCCCAGGGGGCTTGTCGGTGAAAGCTGGTATCGGCACCCGGGTCGTTGGCTTCCAGGAGGCATCTTCGCCGCCACTGCTGGACACAACTAGGAAACCTTGTGCGCTTGGACCCTGGGAGGATCCAGGGACGCCTTTTGAGCAGCTGGAGTCTCTTCTGCCCTGCTCCAGGCTGGATTGCGAGGTTGTCGTGTGGTTTGGGTGGAGAGACGTTTGGTGGGGGCGTGGGCGGTGTGGGAAGGGGCGGCGGTGGCTTGGTGGGGGGGGCTTGGGTGGGTGGGAGGAATCGAGGGGATCCGCCTGAAGAAGTCCTCCGGGGCCTCCTAGCGCAACCCCCGCCCTCCTGTAAGCAGAGGACTGCGGGAAGCCGGGCATGCCAGCGCAAACTTCCGCCCTCCTGCTTTGAGAGCGCCGCCAGGCCGTCCTGTCTGGAGGGGGCCCGTGCGACGAAGACCTTGGGTCCTCCCAGCACCTCTCCGTCCTGAGCTGCACATGGCCGCGCGGGGATTATTTTCCGAGGGCTCGGAGTGCCGACAGGCCCCTTCTTGTCTCTGGGGGGACCTCTGCGAAGAAGACCTCTGGGTCCTCCTAGCACCCGTCTGTCCAGATCCAGCTGTCTAGGCCTTCGCCCCGCCGCCTCAGGCTGATCAGTGCGCCCTGCTCCCAGCGGGGTCGGGGAGGACTGAGGTCGTAGCGGCTGGTCGGGGGTCGAGGTTTGGAGCGGATCCGAATGGTCTCCGCCTACCACGCGGGCAGATTGCGGCATGCACCGCACGAGCAGGCTGATTGACCCCAGGGCGGATCCTTTTTCAAGCTTTCCTTCCGCATCCACATGAGCCCCGCTTGGGACACTCCAGGTGCAAGGCGGGTCGCCTCCATTCCTCATGCTACTCCTGGAGGCAGCCAAGGGGGTGCCGGGGCCCCCCTTCTGGGGTGCGGATGTGGGGGCCGAATGAGGTCATGCCGCGGCTGGTCCTCCTCCCAGCTGCCCTCGGGTTGCTGTCCCTGCAGCCCCCAATGATCGCCCACAGTGTCATGGCGCCAACATCGCAGAGCGGATTGCGTTCGGAAAACAATAGGATGGGCCCTGAGTGTCCTGGAGGGTTTCGTTCTGGATTTCGAATTGAATTTCGCGCGGATTTTTTTGGCCAGGAATGAAGACTATAACACATCCACGTGCAATTCACTTTGTTTTTCGCTTGCCGTTTTGGGATTGTGCACTGACAGCAATCCACGCAGAAATCCGCTGCACCACGTCTGCAAGGTCGGTGCAGTGAACAGTGGCCACCAACTAACCCGTCCCTTCCTTCCGTCAACCGCTTGAAGGCACTGTGAAATCTCCCTGGGGTCTTCTTTACAGGCTCCGGGTCTTGGGGGCATCCGGGGGCTGCTTTGGGTCGCCTCGAGGTCGGCTCGGGCTTGTTTTTTTTTGGGGGGGAAGGGTAACTGTGGGGCCGTCATGTGGGTCCCTTTGAGGCCGTCTTGGGTTCTTATTTTGGGCAACGTCAAGGGTGGATAGGTTCAGTTAGGGGCGCGTCGAGGATTTGATCTGCCATTGGGTTTGTGTCAGGCATCCCTGGGCGCCTCTTGGGGGCTTGTCGGGGTCTCGTGGGGGTATTTCGGGGGGGGCGTCTTGGAGCCCCTGAGTAGTCGTTGGGTCGTCTTGGGCCAGACTATGGGCATCTTGCATCCGTCTCGAGGTGGTCGGCGACAGCCCTGGTGCTCTGAGGCCGAGCAGGGCGCCGGGAAGCAGAACTATACGATTTGCGCGCGCCAGCCGGGGGGCGTCGGCCCCATCAGAAATCACAGAAACCCTACGAGATCATCAGCACCGTTCTCACACTCCCTCCTCGCGAATATCAGCACATCTCGTTCGCTCTTCTTCGCTCGGACACCGCTTGGCAGCAGTCCGAGCGAGCTGCGGACATGTCAGTTGACGTTTTCTACATCGATTTGCCAGAGATTGCAAGCATACGAAGAATGGGCGTTCTCTCGCTGCCGCTGTTTACGAGCGGCAGAAGTTGGCATAGTCATTGGTCGCATCGTCTTCCCGCCCTTCCCTTCTCTACGTCCGGGCGCCTTCCAGCGGTGGGAGGAGGGCACTTACAGCTTCACTGTTTACGCTTATGGTGACTCTTGGGAGGCAGTCTGTACTGAAGTCTGGAAAAATGCACGCTGCCTGCTTGCAGTGTCGCTGGAGGTTAAACATAGAATGTAGTTTCTGCCGATTCTCAGTGTCGCCGCGGATGTGGCTCATTTGAGACTGTCGCTTGCCCGGCCGCTGTCGGCTTGGGATGCTGGGCCTCGTGCCAACTTGTCCGTCCTCATGTCGAGCGTGGCAACATCTTGTTCGCGTGCAGGCCGTTTTTCGGAAGCAGGCGATTTTGAGTTTCTTGGGCCAGTTCGAATTTGAAGATCCCTTCATCAAGACATCCGAATTGGCTTCGTGTGCGGGCCAGGAATCGGTTTATCTCAATTGGCATGCTCTTGTCACACGTATTCCCGTATATCCCGAGCGACCTGTATGCGTGCATTGTCGGTCTGATTGGCCGCAGGATTTGCCGTCGTGGCAAGACACGGGAGGCACGCGCACGACATTGGTGTATCGCGTTGTGAAGCTTGGACACGCCACGGTGTGTTGGTGCCGATGCACAAGATGTTCTCGTAGTGCGATGGGTTCTCGCAATTCCCCCATCTGTCGTTGGAACTAGGCCTTTTATGTACTCCCAGATCCCAGTCTACTATTAGACGCCCTCCCACTTCAAGGATCGAGTGGCTTTCCCTCTTCCCTCCTCGTCGGGAGGCGGGCGGAAGCCCAATCTGTTACAGCGCCTTCCCACTTCGTGCTTCTACCCGCTTCTTCCGACCGCTAGGCAATGGTCTTGGCATCGCTCGGACGTGTGCATTTTTCCTTCGGCGAGGACTACCGAGGAGCATCCTTGATCATTTGGCGAAACAACCACGCACGAAACCAAACCAAGCACAGGGAGTGGACGTCCGAGCGATGGCCAGGTAATGGCGTGCCCTGCGTGGGTACAGCGCACGGGTGGCACTTGTGCCTAGGCCGCAGGCTGGCACGGCCACGGGGCGACCGTGGGCACGCCCCTTCTAGCTCCATGCCAGTAGCTCACTCAGACTTCAGGCGGGCCTGTCTCTCTACAGGAGGAATATTCCAAAAGAGTCACAACATAGTCTGGGGACTATTGTTTGGGTATTTGTGGGCATCTTTTGAGCATTTTTTGGGTGTTTTAATCTTTCGTCCAAAATCCCCCTGTAGGGGAACATGCCCGACCTAAACTTAGACACTGCTCGGTGAAAGTAGGGCTAGCCAGAGCAGGCTGTTTATATCGGATGTTCGGGTGAAGGCGCGGTATGCGTCACGGCAATACCCGATGGTGACGTCCGGACGATCAAGGACCGGCCTGGGAAGGGTTGTTTTTCATGATGCAGACCGCATGAAGGGGGTTGCTTTCGCGATGCATGTTTGTTGCAACTGTTTTCGAGTTGGATGTTGCCATCCTTTCCGTCTCCTCGCTGGTTCTGTTTCTTCCTTCTTTGGAGGCGTTGGAGAAGACAGGGGAGGAGTGAGAAGGGCTGGGGATGAAGAGAGGAGTTGGGCAAGGGGAGTTGCAAGGGAGGCACAGGGATGACGGTGGAGGAAGTGAGAGGGATTGGAGTAGAGGATGGGAGCGAGTCGGGGGATGGGGAGCTAGACTTCGTGACCAATTTGGCACTAGGGGGTTCGCTCGTCTATCTTCCATTTCGCTCAAGACGGTCACCGCTCCCCCCTGCTCCTCTCGTACACGCAAGGGCAGTCGTCCCTCACACTCAGCTTGGCCCTCCTATCCGCATGGCTCAACTCGAGCATCTGGCCCGAAGTTGTGTGGCCAGCTCCTCATGAGCCCAGGGTCGCCAAAGGGACCACACGCGCATGCTTAGAACCTCCTTTCTCGGTTTCGTCCAGCTTGAGGCTATTTTCATCGCCAGAGTCAGTCCAGGCCGAGGGATGTCACGACACCTCTTGGCGCCGTTGCTTGTTGAATGTGTAGTGTTGGCCAGCTCGGGGACCCCGAAGAGTACAGTGGAGACCCATGCCCCCCAAAAAACCTGCTTGCCTCCAGGGTGCCCTGGGTTTCTTTGGCTTCGATGGTTCTGCGATGGACAGCGTGACGTTGTCACACCCAAAGTAAATGGACGTCCTGGGGTCTCAGGGTTGGGTTTCTTGTGGAAGGTTTCTTGTGCACTGGCCTCCAGTACATGCGATGCTTTCTGCGTTCGGTTCAAAAGACGTGTTGTTAGCTATCTGAAGGAGGCTACGCGCTGCACGTTGCGTAATTGAAACCAGGCGACATCATCTACCTGAGCAAGTTCTGTGGTGCGAGCTGTGTGTACACGCGATTCGGTGCAAGTTGCGCGATGCTTAATGCGGATCGGTGGCTCATGCGAGCGCCGTATCATGATGTCGCCGACACCAGCGGCAACGCTGATGACAGCAGCGATGGTGGTGGTAACGACGGCAATGACGACGGCAATGTCAATGCCAGCTCCGATGTTGGTAACGCCAATGACGCCTTGTACACCTCCGCAGTTCCGCTTCTAGAATGCATTCGCGTCGACTGGCACATGGTTGTCGATGAGATAGCGCCGATTTAGCGTCGGCCCGCATCGATCTCTCGTCGACTAGTGCCAACAAGCGCCGATTTGCAAAATCCAGCAAGAGGGTAAATAATGGCTCCTATGAGTTGCCCCAAAACATGCGTCGATGACGAAGGTGATTGGGTGATGATGACGGCATTTGCGGCGACTGTCGATGACGATGACGTGATGCATTGGTGATGATGAATATGATGGCGTGGAAGTGCGCGTTCGCGCGGAAATCCAGGAATGTCAGACCTGTTGGAAGTCATGCGAGTTTTTCCCTAATAGCGTGTCGTTCCAGGGTTCTAACGGGGGTCAGAGATTTCTTTCAGCAGGATCTCCTCAGAGGGGGGACTCGGGGGGGGGGGGGGAGGCGTCTCGCAGGCCTGGCAGCGGTCCGGCAGCGCTCAGTCTTCTGTTCTGGTTCGGTGTAGGCCAGAGGTGCGGCGGCGCGGCCCGGAATCTGCTGGCATTGCTCGATATGGCGTTCTGGCTCGATTTGGTTCAGAAATGCGGCTTGCTATCATGCTTTGGCTCGACTTGATCAGAAATGAGGCTCACTACTGTGTTGTTGTTCGATGTTAGCCCCCCAGAGTCAGAAATGAAACTCACTATGGTGATCTGACTCGTTTTGGTCCAGAAATGAGCTTCAAACTTGTGTTTTGACCAAGTTGTTTGTCGCCCAAATACCCACAAGGGAGGCCAGAGGGAGAGCCGTCTTACCGGTCCGGCGGCAGTCCAGGATCCACTCACGCTGGTGCTGGCTCGATTTCAGTCCTCGCAGATAGAAATTAGATTCACTCTTTTGTTCTTCAGTCGGCCCATATTAGTAGGTCGACCCTGCCAAATCAAGGGTACCCTTTGTCTCGCGACCCATGCTTCCTACATTCCTGTGACAATGTGGCCCTCCGAATATTATTGCGTCCTCTCGCGTGTCCTGTCCAACCGAGTCCGACTGTAGCTCGGTTTGGTCCGGAAATGAGACTCATTATCGTGCTCTGGCTCGTCTTGGCCGAGAAATGACACGTGGTATTGGTGCTTAATCGGTTTTCTTGTCGACAGAAGCTCCACAGGGGAGGCCAGGGGGAGGCATCGTACTGGTCCGGGGGCTGTCTGGAATCGACTCGCTCTGGTGTTCTGGCTCGTGTCAGCCCTCGCAGATCCAGATGTCAGACTCATTCTGGTGTTCTGGGCTCGACTTGGCCCAGAAATTGAATTCTTTATGGCATTCTGGTTCGACTGCCGCCCTCCCACGTCCAGAAACGTGATTCACTATTATTGTCCAGAATGAAATAAATGCCCAGAAGTGAAACTCTGTTGTGGCTCGGATGTGTCCAGAAATTGAACTCACTATGGTGTCGCGGCTCGGTTTCAGTTCGAAAGATTCTTATCGCCAGAATCTCCACAAAGGGACGGGGGGGGCGAATTGCGGGTCGAATTCAGCCGTCGCAGACACAGAAATTGGACTCACTCGAGTGTTCGGGCAAAGAAGCCACTGTGTTTTGCGCGTGTTCCCATCGATTTGCCTCTTTTTTTCTGGTGCTCGAGTCCAAGGTGCTGTGCTTGTGCTCCCACAGAGATTGCCCCGTGCCCTGGGGCTCGAATCCTGGGTGTTCTGCGCATGTGCCGTGCCCCTGGACCGCCCCTCTCCTTGGTCTCGAATCTTGTACGTGTTTTTACGCGTGCGCCTATACGTTGCCACTCTCCTGTGCCTGGTATCGCTCGGACGTGTGCACTTTCTCTCGGCGGGGATTATTAAGGAGCGTCCTGGATCATCTTCAAAAAAAAACACGCACGAAACCGAAGCAAACACAGGGAATGGACGTCCGAGCGATGGCCAGGACGTTGCCCCTCTCCTGTGGCTCGGGTCCTGCGTGTTTTACGTACCGTAGAGACCCATGCCCCCAAAAAAGAAACCCGCTTGCCTCCAGGATGCCCCGGGTTTCTTGACTTTCGATGGCTTTGAGATTGAAGGCGTGACGTTCCCACACCAAGAATTGGGGGACGCCCTGGGGTTCCTGTGGACGGTTTCTTGTGGACAGGCCTGCACTGTATGTGCCTACCCCGCTCCCCTCGCCAGACCCAAAAAATGTCGTGAGCACGGTCGCGTTCTCGTCGGGTTGGCTGTAAAGCTGTGGAGGACGATCAATGGAGGGGAAGCATGTTGCCTAATGATTTCCAGATGTCTAAAACATGTGTTACACATGTTTTAAACGTGTAGCAACATTTTAAGATGTTTCGAATATTTTCTTATATTTCAAACACATTTTGAATCCGTCCACAACCTATGGAAACTCAATGATGGTTGCCTCTTGAGGCCCTCTTGGGAGGCCTCTTGAGTGCCTCTTGGGGTGTCTTGGAGGCCTCTTTGGGCCATCTTGAGGCCATCTTGGGCCGGTCTTGGGTGGCGTCTCGGGGCCTGTCTGGGCCGCATGGCAGGCCGCGTGGGGTCCCTTTGGCCCGTCTTGGGGCCCTGAAACATGTACGCGCCCCCTTTTTGCAAAGCCCCCCTCCTCCTCCTCTTTCTCCTCCTCCTCCTCCTCCTCCTTATCATCATCATCATCATCATCATCATCATCATCATCATCATCATCATCATCATCATCATCATCATCATCATCATCATCATCCTCCTTCTTGGGAGTGGGGATTGAGGCTCAGAGGATGGGGCCCCGGGCCTGAGGATCCGCCCACTCCGTGCCCAGCGGCACGGTGGCGGAGCTTCCACCCAACCGAGCACCCAGCTCTGCACCCCTCTCGCCTTCCAGGAGTTCCACAGGAGAGTCGACCATTCAATTCTTCGCCGTCCTCCGTCCCTCCGTTCTCTCTTCCTGTCTCCTGCACTCTCCCCCTTCCTCCTGTCTTCCCTCTCCTCGCCTCTCTCTGCTCCCTCCCGCCTTTCGTCCCCCCCCAATCTTTCCCTACCGACCACCACTGCCTTTGCCACCGCCGCCGCCCTCCGGGGAGGACGTGAACGTCTTCTTTGTGACTGCCTCGTTCTCAATCTTTGCTTACGTGTGGCTGTACTTCTGCGTCGCGATCCACACGGACCCCCCGCGCACCCAAGAAGCCCCCTTTCCTCTGATTTCTTCTTCTTCCTCCTCCTCTTTCCTATCTCCTCTCGTTCCCCGTCCTCTCCCCTCTTTCTCCTATCTCCAACTCCTCAAATCCCCATGCCTGTCCACCATAAATACCTCCTCCCCGTCGTGCCCCCAGACGTCTCGGTCGGGCGGCCGGGCGTTTCGCCCGATCTTTTCTCACAGCTTCGGGTCCTGAAGCGTGTGCTTTGAAACAGCCTCAAAGGGAGGGCGGGCCGTTTTCGGAATGTGGCTCTTGCCGTGGCGCCGCGCAAATTCGTTTTCGTGTTCAAAGCTAGCAGCCGTTGCAAAGATGGAGGGCGGCCGGTTTTCAAAAGGCGGTCCTCGGCTCGGCTCCGTGCATATTGCTTGTGAATTTGGCCTGGCGACGGATCCAACCACATGCAGCTGCGAGTGCCGCGAGGGAGGTGAGGGCTAAGGAGGGGTCACGCAAACTCAGAAAAGCGAACGGTATAGCGATCCGCGGGAATTGCGAGGCGCTGGGCAGTGCGGGCAGGGGGCGATCGGAGCGGGAGGGTCGACCCGTCAACTTCTTCGTGAGGTCTGGCACTTGGGAGCACAGAAGGGCACTCGCGAAACAATTGACACGGGGCGAGGGGAATCTGGGCAGCGAAGAGAGCGAATCCAAGAGGGGTGCGCGAGCGTGGCCGGCCCCTTGATGGGGCCACGCAACGGGTGAGGGGTGTGCCGAAATGGGCCCAGCGGCCGCATGCGAACTCACCACGGAGGCCCTCGGTGGAGCTCTCTAATGGGCCACGACAAATGTGAGGGGTGTGCCAACAGGGGCCGGGGGAACGCCTGCGAATTCCACACAGAAGCCCTCGGTGGAGCCCTCTATCGGGCCACGAAAATGTGAGGTGTGTGCCAACATGGGCCGGGGGAACGCTTGCGAATTCATCACAGAAGCCTTCGGTGGAGTTCCCGATGCAGCCACGAAAGGTGTAGGGGGTGTGCCGAACTGGGTCGGGCGGACGCATGCGAATTCACCACGGAGGCCTTCGGTGGAGCTCGAAACGTGTGCGGGGTGTGCCCAAATGTGTGGGGCTGGCGCATGCGAAACCACCACATAGGCTCTCGGCTGAGCTCCCTATGGGGCCACAAAACGCGTCAGAGATCTGCCGACATGAGTCGGGCGGGCGCATGCGAAATCTCCACAGGCAATCGGTGGAGCTCCCTATGGGACCACGAAACGTGTGAGTGTCGAAATGGGGGAGGAGAGGATGGGGAGGTCCTCCTCCTCCTCCTCCTCCTCCTCCTCCTCATTCTCCTCCTCCGCATCATCATCATCATCATCATCATCATCATCATCATCAGCATCATCATCATCATCATCATTATCATTATCATCATCATGATCATCAACACCAACAACATCAGCATCATCAGCATCATCAGCAGCAGCAGGAACATCATCATCATCATCATCATCGTCATTATCATCATCATCATCATCATCATCATCATCATCATCATCATCATCATCATCATCGTCAGCATCATCATCACCATCATCATCATCATCACCACCATCATCATCATCATCATCATCATCATCATCATCATCATCATCATCGGCATCATCATCATCGACATCATCATCGTCATCGTCCTTTTGGTTTGCACCCGCAGGCGATCTGTCTTCCCCGATCCCCGAGCGCCGCCCGAAAAGGTTGGTCGCTCCGAGAAAAAAAAACGGAGCTCTGAGGGTACATTCTAGCAGAGTCTTTTGGACGCATCCATATCGATGATTTGCGTCCCCCCTATCGTATATACCAGGGTTGGGTTTCAAGTTGTGGGTCCATTCGCAAACCCCCCGAATCCTGGGATAGGCGTCGACGCATCCCTTGCCCGCGAGACTGTTATCCACGTGCGTTGCATCTTGAGACTCGGGTTACTTCTCTCAGGAGCCCGAGGCGCAGTGGAGATGGATAGCAATCTCTGCCTCCAGAGGCCAGACGTCCGTCCAGGTCCACTGCGCCGCGGCCTTTTGGCGCCGCGCCCCAGAAAGCCCGAGGCACGGTGGCCTGATCCGCTTCCTGCTGCACCCCGCCCTCGGTGCCCGAGGCCGCCAGGGCGCCCCTCGGTTGTCGACTCGACGGCCGGGTCTGCTCCTCCTGCCTCCGCGTCCGCCCGCTGCGTTAGCATTTGTCTACGCTTAAGTCGGGCATGTCCCTCTGCAGAAGGATTCTTCGAACATAGTTTTAAATTATAGTCTGGGGACGATTGTTTTTTTCAATATTTTGGCTTCATTTTTTGAGTATTTTTATGTTTTGCCCATCATGCCCCTGCAGGGGGACACGCCCGACTTAAGTCTACGCGCCCCGCGCCCAGCGTGCCCCGCCACAGTGGCCGGCGCTGCCGCCCAGCGTGCCCCGCCGCAGTGGTCGGCGCTGCCGGCCCGTGCGAGACGGGTAAAAAGTGAGGGGGCCACCTGCGAAGGAAAAAACAGCGCCATGGCCAGGAAGTGTTGGCTTTCCGCGCGGGCTTCTCGGATCGACGCCTGGGCCCCCCCCGGCGGCGCGCCTCCAGCGCCGCCCCCAGCGCGCTCCACGCACCAGGGATGGGGGGCCCAGCGCGGGTCCAAGAAATCCACGCGGAGCGCCAGCAGTTCATGTTTCTGCAGTCTGCCAGGTGGGTCTAGCGAGACGAGAACAGGAATGGGGCAACATGCGGAGTAGGAGCACCCACGTGTGGACTTCGGGGAACAAGCAATGACGCAAACATGATATTTCGGAGGTCCGCGCGGTGTCCTCGGCTTGGCGACGGCACCCCCTGGCGGCGCCTTTGGCGCCGCCCCTGGCGCGGCCCTCGCGCCAAGGAAGGGTATCCCGTGCCGATCCAGGAGATCCGCGCGGACCTCCGAACAAGGTTAGGTTGTGCCGTTTTTCTTCTGGTACCCCGGGGAGTAGAGTCGAAAAAGAAACAACGCCATAACCATTATTTGTTTGCGCTCCGCGCGGGTTTCTTGGATCCGCGCTGGGCCCCTTTGGCGGCGCCTCCGTCGCCGCCCCTGGCGCGTCCGCGCGGAGCGCCGCAAAAGTTTATGTTCATGGTTTTTCTTCTTCGACAGAGAGGCTCAGGTGCGCCGAGAGATCGGCGGCTCGGGCGGTTGATTCGGCGGGCACGCCCTGTGTTTTGGGAGTGATCGTTCGGGTGCGTTGGCGCTGTCCTGCAGGACAACGAGGTGTCCATCGGGGAGGGCATCGCCACCCTCGCCTTCCTCCCCCTGCTGGTGTTCTTGGCCTACGCGGCCGACCAGGGCTTCTGGATGGGGAGTCCTAAGGCAGCCGAGCCACCGCCGCCTCCACTCGTGGAGGTGAGTCTGCTGCCACACGGCGTGTGATTTTTTACTGGCGAAGAGCAGTATAACCTGATAGTTTTCGCTGTTTGGGGCGCCGCTCCCAACGGTGGCACGTAAAGGTCTGAATTTTCCAGCCGCCCTGTGACAGGCGTTCCCGGCGACGGAAACAATTTTGTTATACCGATGCATCGCCTGGTCAGGACTTGGTTGCCAGGGTTTATGGAATCAAATGGCCTTCGGCCCAATCCGCCACAGTGTCTGAGGTGTGGGTATAACGGTGTAACGCCTATTGGATGTTCGTCGGGATCTCGTGTGGGGCCTCTCGGCGGCCTCTTGGAGGCAGTTTTGAAGGCCCTTGGGGGCCGTTGTGGGGCCTCTTTAGGACCTCTTGGGGGTTCCTTTGGGCCTCTTGGGGCCCTTTTAGGTTCGTGTCCCCTCTCTTGGGCCTCTTTTGAGGCCGTCTTGGGGCCTCTTGGGTCGACTTGGGCGCCTCCTGGGCCGTCCTGGGGCGCACTTAGGCTGTCTTTGGGGTGGTTTTGTTGGTTTTCTGGGACGTCTTGGAGCGTCGGAAAGCCGAACAGGCAAGAACGCCAGAAACATTCAACAACAGAAGGCATTTACCCCAGTGCGACCCTACCTAGAAGTTGGAGCCCCTAGGAAAGCAGCATTAGTTGCTATGCTCTGCTATGCTATGGTATGCTATGCTATGCTATGCTGCGCTGTGCTGTGCTGTGCTGTGCTCTGCTGTGCTATGTTATGATATGATATGATATGATGCGCTATGCTATGCTATGCTGGGCTATGTTATGTTATACTATGCTGCGCTATGCTATGCTACGTTATGCTATGCTGTGCTATGCTATGCTAAAGCTCAGCGAAGCCAAGATGAAGGTAAGCTAAGCTAAGCTAAACCTGAGCTATGATGAAGCTCAGCTGAGCTAAGCTAAGCTAAGCTAAGATGAGATAAGCAACGCTAAGCTAAGGGAACGTCACTGGGGGAACCGCGGGGCGGATGCCGAGGGAACCGCCTGGGGCGAGTTCCTCTGCCCGGCCCTTTAAGCAAACCGAGTAAGAACCCTTCTAGGCAGAGCCTAGGTAGGGAATCAATGGTTTGTAGATCACGGGGCCCTCTGAGGAGGCCTTTTGTGAAGTCTTGGAGGCCTCTTGGGCCATCTTGAGGCCATCTTGGGTGTCGATCTGGGGGCGACTTGGGGCCCTCTTTGACAATCTTTGGGGCCCCTTGGAGCCGTCTGGGATCGTTTTGGGGCCCTCCCGGGCGGGGTAAGACGACGCGAGCGATTCTGGCAGACCCAGGGCCAGCCCGGCCGGCCTGGGCCGACATTGGAAATTGGGGTGCGGGCAAGAGGGGGGTGATGACTAGGGGGGGGGGATCTCATGGCGCCTCTTTTTTTTTTCATTACGTTCCTGGCCCCCCCTGGGCCGCACACGTGCCGCCGACCATGATTTGCGCCCCCCTCCCCCACCTTGGACACCCCCCTCTTGGCCGCCCCCGAGAAACGACTGGTCTGGGCCCTTAAAGACTGTCAAGTTTGATTGCAGCAGCAGCACGGCCTCTGGGCCCTTAAAGACTCACAAGTTTGATTGCATCAGCAGCACGGCCCTCTCAGTGTTGCCTGAGCCTTCCCGCTTCGTGCTAGAGGCACGGTGGTGGCTTTCCTGAAGTAGGTGCGTGACATAAGAGACCAGCTTGCCAGCATGTGCCTCACGGAGCTTCCTTAACCCCTGATGACCCTGGGGGCCCACAGACGCTCTGGAGCATCATCGGATCTTCAACGATCGGCGAATACTGTGCCCCAAGATTTCTTGTAGCAACATGTGTCAGATGTATCGACTGTACAGTAGACTGCACTGTGGCGAGTGATGGCGCAAGTGTTGCGCTCTCCACATGCATGGCAATCGGTCGACTGCAGATTCATTGATGTATGAGTGAACGCTGCCGTCACGGGCTTACTCATGTTGCCTGATGCCCTTCCTCTCTGATGCTTCATGCGCTGGCTCTTTGATAATGTTTATGGTGGTCCATGCGTCGAGGACGCACCAACGGCAGACTTCAGCAACCGGCGCAGATCCTAGAAAACCGCGTGGAGGGCCAACAGTTTGTTTATGCAGTTTTTTCTTTTCTAGTCTCGGGCCGTTTTTCTGTTTGGGGGGCATCAGGCGGACAACATCGAGGGGCGAGTCAACACATACGGTGCTCTTAACTTGCCATGAGTCCATGAGTTGATCCCAGCGTTTCCAGGCCGTCGTGTGGCAGTGGTCTTAGCAGCCCCGCGGCATACAGGGGACATGTTTCTTTATGGGCGGCTTCAGCTGTGGAAGGCAGCGAGCGCGGCGCCACAAGGGGCGTGCGTGTGGCCTGGGGGTGGTGCTCCAGTGCTCGTAGGGGCGCCCCCTCGTCACGCCCCTGGCGACTCCAGACGTGGCGCAAGGAGTAGAGAGAGGAGGACGAGGATGGGGAGGGGGCGAGGATGACAAGGGGGAAGAGGAGGAGCAGGAAGTATCAGCGCGCCCCCCCGGAAGGCCCAGGCCCTGGTCGCAAGCTGGCCGCCCCAGGGACGAAATGTCAGGGGCAACGTTTGGCGCAGGGATGGGCTCAGGGGGGAAGGCATCGACCCCCGATTGCCCATTCATCCCCGAAAGGGTCCCGATGGCCCACTCCGCGTAGGACCGTGAGGCTTCGGGGGCCCAGCGCTGGTCTATCGGCGACGTACCGCGGATTCGAGGTCAATGCTTCCCCCCCTGAGCGGGTCCCCCCATAACATTGCCCCTCGGTGTGGTGAGTCGGTGGGGATTCGGGGTGCCCGCACGGGTATGGGGATGTACTTGGGTCTTTCTGCGGTGACGGACCGCGTTTTGAGGCCTCTTGGGAGTTCGAAGTCACTGGATGGTCCGTAGTCTCATCGTTTGGGGGCCCCCAGTCCTCTCTTGCTCTCCTCCTCTCATCTCTGTCCGCATCGTCAGACCTACCCTTTGGCCCAGCGAGCCTGGGCTCTTGGCGCCAGCGGCCTACCCCACCGAG